TAAATTCCTGGGTCGTGAGTCGGCCAACCAAGCCTTCCATCCCTCCGGGGTCGGTTAATTGGTACCAGACTTGTCTGGACTGACTTGTACATCGGCTGGCCCCCGCAAGTCATTGTATAGGCCACATCGCATTCAAACGCCACTACGAATGTACAAATGGAAGTAGAATGCGTGCCGCATCCCAAAAAGGGATTGATCAACGGCAAATGCTTTATCCTTTTATCCTTTATTTGCATTATAGTGGGGACGCAGTAGCCCGAATCAGTCACTTTTCTTTAAGCCAGAGATAGACCTCAGTACACTCTGAAAACCAAAGATCACAACCGATTTTTCTGGGAAAACTGCTGGTTCTCTTTCCATCGGGAGTAGATGGCCAGTCACTTCAAATAAGCCTCATCTCTTACGTCTGTCGGGCCCTTCACAGTGATAAACAAACAGTTGTGCGCTAAACGTAGTCGTTTTTACAAGCACTGGTCAAACACTACGATGCTCTGCTGTTGCGTAGTATCCTCCGTACAAACACACGAAACCCCGTTTTCCCCTCAGCAGGCTTGCACTGGTGGGAAACATTTGTAGTAAGGCGCAGCAGGGTCGGCGGAAGTAGCAGCGCTACCACCATCAACGGTAATGATCCCATGGAATTGTGGAAAGCGATTCTGCTCCAACATCTCCGAGTTCTCCTTGGAGCTAACCTTAACTTTGAAATTGATAACTGAAAATAAAAGTCTGTATAGAACCTGTCCCCCATGGGGCCTCCTCGACGCTCCTTTTCAGAGCATTTGTCGCATTCGGCCCAGTAACAAGAGGTGAGCTTCCTCTGCCCTCCCCTACCTCCAATTACGAGAGCCTTACCAGCATGACTTCGGCAGAGCGTTGCTGATGCTATCTTATGATGGTTAACTTCATGTTTAGGAGTGGCTGCACCTAACACTCTCAGAGCCCGCAGGTGTGAAAACAGGTTTCAAATTTTAGGGGGAATTGCATCTGTCCGTTTACCATCATAAAGAGGATTGACGAAGTAATAGGATTCCTCTGAAGAAAGAGCGAAACGGACCGTTTCAGATATTTATAATAGTTCGTGGAGGTATATCTTTGTCCAGTGGCAAAAAGCATTTCAGCTGTAGTGTCTGAGTGGAACTGGCTAATGATAGATCGAGATATGAAATCTCAGGAAATCCTCTTGTTTACCCCGAAGATTAGCTCCAATGTAATAACATGGGTCGAGGCCTCGAGCTTAGTGTGCCATAACTTCCTCTTAGGGTGAGGAAACAAGGTTGAATAGGAATAGTTAAAGTTACCTCCATTATAAGTTGCACCTAAAAAATCGGGCAACCTTTTTGTGTGTTTTTCCAAAACAGAGTAGTCATGAGTGTTTCATATAGGTTCGTGGGTTGAATTTTACCCTTAACAAATCGCAGTGTCCTCACTTATGAGGTCACAGCATCATTACCCCTGGAAGTGATATCCGAAAAACGTGAGACCACAATATTACGAATGAACTGAAGTCCTCAATTCCAGGTAGTATAAGACATAGAAGGAATGGCCTCCAGCATGGCATTCAGCAATCGACTGGGAT